GAACATCTCTCTCTCTCTCTCTCTGTCTCTCCTCTGTAAAATATGCCTCTCAAATAAAAATAAATAAATCTTTAAAAAATACTGTTTAAAAATACTGGGAATTTTTTAAAATAATAAAGCATATTTAAAATAAAATATAAGAAAATTTCCAACAACCATATCAATAACTGCCAATAATAACTGGCAGTTAAATCTAAGCTCTTACTATGTATTAACTACTGATCTAAGAACTTTCTACAAAACATCTAATCTAAATTTAATTTTTGCATTCATTCCCATTTAAAATGAAGCAATTCACACAAGACAGAGTGACAGTTTGTCACTCCGGCAATTAAACAAACAACTATGTGATGCTGCCCTTTTCATATAATTTTCCCATCTAAGTGTAAAATTTGCAGTATTGCAAACCTGGCCTTACACAAATCAAGACAAACAAGATAAGAAAAGTAGTATAACTGGAACCAGGGCAGGGGCAGTCCTGGTGGAGATTATTGTGGCTTGCTCCAACTAGGCTGCAGTTCCCACTGGTTTGCATGAGGGCTGAGTATGCGGTGGGCAGGACTGGAATGGGCTCCAACACTCATTGATTTGCATAGAAGACAGGGCTGGAGACAGAACTGACCCAGCAACTGCAACTACCAGTGTGTGGAACAGACTGTGCCGGCCCTGTATTGTCATGCACACACAAGAATTAGGTCTGCGATCACCTCAGATGAAGTTTTTTTGGGGATATCCCCAACTGAATTGCTGAACTCCAAACCCAACATGGAGAGAACTGCAGGTTCCATAGTCTGACCATGGAGTGCATGTGCAGAGCTGGGCCTCCTCAGTGGCTTAGAAAGAGAAAGAGCAGTGGTCAGCAGATCGAGGTGCACATGGAGGATATGGCAGTACTTTAGAGCCTGCAGAGGACAATGGTACCATAACAGAGGACAGAGGACAGAACAAATTGATCAACTACCACAACCAAGTGTTGGCAGTGAATATCTAGGCAAATGGAGACTCTAAAGTGAACTATGTCAACCAATGGATTCTGGAGATATTTCACCATGCTCTTGGAGTAGCAAGATCAGTAGTAATTCAGGACTGTTGAACTATTGAGACCTCTTGAGCAGGATGCTCAGAGCATTCTCCACATCGGGGACTCTGGGATGGTGTCAGGTGTCTGTCCTCCATCCCAGTGTACAGACATAGTTGGGAGGCTGGATGTGGCTTCTCGCCTTGTCTCTCCTCTACCCCCAAGGCAGGAAGAAAAAAAGAACATGGAAACAATGGTCTGAACTACTTTCCTGTAGCACTTGAACCTTTGCACTGTAATCATCTATGTAAAAATCATCAAAAATAAAAATTAAAAAAATAGTAGAATAATAAAATTGCTAGACTTAAAGTTAACAAGTATGTATTATTATTTATATGCTTAAAATATTAGAGAATGGGGGTGTTGGTACAGTAGCCTAGTGGCTAAGGTCCTCGCCTTGTATGCTCATGGATCCCATATGGGTACTGGTTCGTATCCCAGCTGCTCCACTTCCCATTCAGCTCCCTGCTTGAAACTGAGAAAGCAGAAAAGGACAGCCCAGGCCTTGGGATCATGTGCCCACGTGGGAGAACCTGAGGAGGCTCCAGGGTCTTGGCTTCAGATCAGCTCAGCTGCAGCTGTTGGCAAGTGAACCAGTGGATGGAGGATGCTTCTCTCTGCCTCTCCTTCTCTGTGTAAATCTGACTTTCCAATAAAAATAGATAAATCTTTAAAAAAAAATGTTAGAGAAGAGCCTTGACTGTGGCACCTGTGACACCAGCATCCCATAGGAGCTCCTGGTCAAGTTCTGTTTGCTATTTTTCCATTCCAGGACCCTGTTAAAGTCCTGGAAAGGCCCCAGAAGATGGCCCAAATGCTGAGGACATTACTGTCCATCGGAGAGATGTGGATGGAACTCTGGCTCACGGTTTCATCCCAGACAAGGACCAGCTGTTATAGCCATTTGAAGAGTGAACCAAAGTAGATGGGAGATCTCTTTTGTATCTACCACTCCATCCATCTTGTGTGTGTGTGTGAGACTCTTCCTTTCAAACAAATATATCTTTAAATAATAAAAATGATTTAGATTTGAAATACTTTTAGCCAGTAGTCAGTAAAAAAACTTAATTCAACTTAAAATTTGGGCAAGGTGGTAGTTTGTTTAGTAATAAAACAGCATACAAATTTTCTGAGACATAAGCCTGAGAAGCATATTTTTAAAAAAAATCTGTACATTCACTTTAACTTACATATATATTAACTTACATATATCATAACTTATTGAAAAGTGTAACAACCATTATAATTATATAAGGCAATTACAGAATCATAATTATCATATTCCTCCAAAAATAAACTATTTGTTATCATTTCATATCCATTAGAACAATTACTATTAAAAATAAACCAATAAAAAAACCAAATATTTCAAGAATGTTGACACACTGAATCCTTGTCCACTGTTGGTGGACATGATAAAATGATAGTTGTTGTGGAAAACAGTAAGCTGCTTCCTCAAATAACTAAAAACAGATTTTCTGATTCAGCAATTCCACTGAAAGTATATCCCAAAGAGCGGTTAGTAGCTACATGTTAGTAGCTACATTAGTTACAACAGCTAAAAATGTGGAAGTAACCCAAGTGTCCATCAATGAATAAGGAGAGTAATAAACTGGAATATTATTCAGCCTTAAAAAGGAAGCGGATTCCTACATAAGCTACAACAAGGATAACCTTCAAGAACATTATGCTGGGGTCCAGTGTTGTGACCCAATGGGTTAAATAGACACCTGTAATACCAACATCCCATATGTGTGGTAATTTCTGCCCTGGCTGTTCCGCTTCTTTCCAGTTACCTGCTAATGACCTGGGAAAGCAGTAGAGGATGGCACACATGAGGCAGACCTGGAAGAAGACCTGGGCTCCTGGCTCGGCTGCACCCAGCCTCAGTCCAGCCCAAGTCCTGCAGCCATTCTGCAAGTTAACCAGTTGATGGCCAACATCACTTTGTGTGTGTCTGTATGTGTTCCTCTCTAACTCTGCCTTTCAAATAAATCTTTTAAAAATTTTAAAAATTCGCTTTACAAGATAAAAAGAATTATAGAGATGGATGCTGGACAAGGCTACACAAATAGATGTACTTAATAACAGTATATACACAAAATGATTATGATATGAAGTTTTCTATTATACACATTGTCACAAGAAAAAAAAAACTGGAGGGAAAAAAACACCTGTTAGTAATCTATAATAAAAATTATGTATTCTGCTGGGAGGAGAAATGCATACATTATGGAATTGTTAAAAATGATCTTAACACTTGCTAGCTCTATATCATTTATTTAGAAGACACTGTGAAACACATGATTTTCTAAGTGTGTAAGTTACCATGCTATTCAATTAGCACGACAAGGAAAACATTCCTTTAACTTAGTAGAAAGAAAATCCAATATATCAATATATCACATTGCATTTGTTGTCCAAATCTGTTCCTTTGGCCCAGTGTTACAATGTGAAACACCCTGTATTTCATTGAACAATGCATCTTCATTTAAAAAAACTTAAAAGATAACTTTTTTAAGAAATTGAGACAGAGACTACTACGATTACTTCACAATGGATGATACAGAATGCTCAGAGTCACACTGTTTACAGTGATGTTAAGCTGGAAATGATCCGGATTTCCATTAACAAAATGGGAAAAGAAAATCCTTTAAAAACACTATCTTAAAGTAATAAAAAAGACCCATGAGATACAGATGATTCTCACCTTACGCTGAATAAAAACAAGCCCAGAAACAAGGGTACATTTTTGAATTTATGTGTCTATTTAAAATAGAAAGAGAGAGGGATAGACTTTGACGGGGTGCAGGCAGCTGATAGCTAGCACCCCCTTTCCGGGGTAACTGATAGCATGGATAATGCAGAAACAGAGCATGTATGCCCGTCCCTCCTGCCTGCCCTGCCTTTCAAACTGACAGCTCAGAAATGGCTCCATAAACTCTGTGCACACAGCCCTCCTGTCACCTACCATGTACTTCAGATTCATTAACTACAAGAAAACTTGAGGTTCCGGCAGCTCCCTTCCTGTCTCCTATGAATTGAATGTGTCGAAACGGTATTCTCAATCTGACTGGAGGATGTTATCTTAAAAATCCCTGACTTTGGCTGTAGGGTGCAGTGGCTCATCGAGTGTTGCGGAAACTGTTGCCCCAAGCTTGGGCAACAAAGACTCCTCCTAACATCCTACGCTTTGGGTCTGTGTGATCTCTCCTGCTGGTTCACTTCCTACACGCTCCTAACAGCCACGACTGTCGCAGGCAGAAGCCAGCAGGCAGGAACTCATTCCAGTTCTCCCACATTAGTTGCAGGTCTAAGCACCTGAGCCAACACATGCTGCTCGTGAGGATGCACATTAGCAGGAAGCCAACATCAGGAGCAGGGCCAGGACTCAAAAATGAAAAATTCCAATAAGCAACGCAGTTGTCCCAAGTGGCATCCTAACCACTGTGCCAACAAGAATACATTTTCTATGCCAGAACTTACAGAAGATCCATAATTAACAAAGCTAATCAATGATTAGTTTTTGTGGTGGGTCACCAATAGGAATGTCCTTTGAGAGAAAGAGTTTTTAGTGATAAACACATGCATGGAGGAAATCAACAGCACAGGAAATCAACAGCACACAGCATTCTAAAGCACTCTGTCACATTTCTCTAACACTCTACAACTCAACACGGTTTCAGAAAAGTTGTCTTTGTCTATTCATTTACCCTATGCCAATTTCTGGTAGCCTGAACATTCTTAATGTTCTCCATACAAATGTCTTCCTTTAGCTCATATTTGTTGAAGAACAAAGAAAAATTAACTTTAAAATGTTTTATATTATTTCGAATGTCAAGTTGGACTTAAATATATAAAATGGAACAAAGAAATTATATTCATGTGTAATATGTATTATATATGCGTGCACGCATGTTGCTTTTGGGACATAGAGCCAATCCTTCTTTTATAGTTCTACTTCAAACTTACACCCACTTTCGAAGGAAAATCATTCTCAACTCCAACAGTCGTGACATTCTCGTTCTTACATCTTTATAAAGTATGCTCTACTTATACAGGTTTTTTTCTTAAAAAAAACGACTACTAGCAAATAAAATATAAACTGCCTTTGGTTTATGAGACCATTGACATCAAAGTACACATTAAGAAAAAATTTAAAAACCTCATGTCTATGGAAATTAACCAAATTTAAGCTCATAAATCAAGTTCCATTTTTAACAGAATTTATCAAGCACTCATAAAATCAAGGAAACAGAGAGCTAGCAATTCTTAACAGGCTTGGTACAAAAGCTGTAGCAAAGGACACACAATGCTCATGATTCTGAAACATATTTAAAGCACATAACGAGCCTCTTTAAAGCTGCATATAATGAAATCACATAAATTACGACATGAAAATTTGCTGGAACACGTTCACCTTTTAAAAGGATTTCTCCTGACAATGAAAATAGCTAACCTTTAAGTAAAAACACTATGATAACAAGTAACTTACTTAGTATTGAGATAAAACAATCAACACAAAGATTTCTGTTTAAGAAGTTCAAAGTACAAAGCTATTCTTGGAGCTCTAAAAGCCTTCTAAAATTAACCATTTATCCAGCTGAACAAATCTATGGTCAAAACTTTTCTTCCAGTTGGCATTCCTTTTGTCTTTCTTTCTTTCTCCCCTTTCTTCCTGCTTCCTGCCTGAAATTGACACAAATGGTTTACACTCCAGTATCTAGGACTCTGGCAACATTAAGGTGGAAATCACACTCTAAAGATGAAGAGCAGAGAAGACTCTGCTCAGTACTCTTGTTATGATGCTGCCAAATCAGACCTGGATAGACTATCTTGAAAAGTATCACTTGGGGAGTGAATCATCGGACAGAAGATCTTCGTCTCTGTCACTCCTCCTCTCTGTATATCTGACTTTGTGATAAAAATAAACTTTTTTTTAAAATTTCTTTAAAAAAAAAAAAAGTATTTTAATGGAGACTGTTACTTCAGCCCAGTATTATTTCCAATCTTATAATATAACCCATCTAATTATTGAAACAGATTCTAGTACCAGAAACCAGCAAACTTAGGGTTGACACTGAAATACTATGGGTTAACTTGTGGCTTGTGATGGATTTGTACAGCAATATAGTAAGTTCAAGTTTTTAAAGTTACACATTATTCCAAAACAACTGAACCATTTTGTTCTGCCAACAGTAGCAACTGAAGATTTTGACATCTGGATATTAGCACAGCCTATTATGAACTGCAGGTTGGTGCAGTTAAACCACCATTTGATAAGCAGATTAACATAGGCACAGTAAGTCACATAGCAGATACGTCTGCCTCATTGCAATGAAGAGGATTAAAAATGAAATGAAAAAAGACAGCTAATGGATTTCTTAGGTCACACAGGTTGAGGCTACAAAGCTATTTGGCCGACAGTGCATTACTCCACAGGAGAAGTGAGATGATTTTGAACGTTATTCAGATATCATCTAGGATGCTTCCAAGAAGTTACAAAGAAGGGAAGAGGTCACTCTGTGTGTTTTCCTGAAGCCTTGTGTGTATACTCCCCAGTCAGCAGATCCTAGTGTCCTGCAAAGCACTTTAGGTGGGACTGTTGCCCCAGCAGATCCAGAAGATGGAGCATCAAGTCAAAAATCAAAAATCAAATCAAAATCAAAAACATTTGCCAGTTTCTACAGCTTTCTGAGATCCTTTCTTCCTTCTAAATGTTCCTTTGGGGAATGGGAATGTCTAGTCTAGGCTTGCTCCTCCATGGTATGTCCTCTCTGATTTCACAGAATCAGATTTGCAGATTTTTGCCTCAGGATGAAATGTACTTCAAGGATCTGAATGAGGAGGTATTTATGAAAGACTTTGGACTTTACAGGTAATGCTGGAACAAGTATTGACTTGGGAGGCTCGGGATATGTGGTGCCACAAATTAAGCTGCTATTCATATCCCATGCGAGAAAGCCACTTCCAATCCCAGCTATCATGTTCCATAATCCAGCTTTCTATTAAGGTATGTGAGAAAGATATAAAACTTTTGTATCTCTTACTCTCCCTCCCTCCCTTAATCTCTCCCCTTTCTTCTGCCTCTCTCTCTCTCCTCTCTCTTTCTGTAGTAATGGTATTGTTCTGCTTTTTAAATATGTAAAATCAAAAACACTTTTGGGGCTACAGGGACAGAATGAATTTATTTTGGGAGGAAAAACAGGAATTTGGGAGGAAGGTCAAGGAATGACACTGTTATAAAATGTATTGTCCCAAATTCATATGTGAAGCATTAACTTCAATATGGTGATACCTAAAGATGAGGCTGTTTGGAAAGCAACTAGGTGAGAAGTAATCTGGAGGTCATGTGAATGGGGTACACCTTTGATGGGCTGCACTTACAAGACAAGAAAGACCAGAGTGTGTGTTCCTGTTCTCTCTCCGTACTCCTCCACCCAATCCTCTAGTGAGGACACATTAACAAAGTGGCCCTCTGAAAGTCAGAAAAAATGCCCTCTCCAGGAACCAAATCCTGCGCCTTAGTCTCATACCTCCCAACACTCCGAACTGTGAGAAAGAACTTTAATTGTTTTCTGTTCCATTTTGTCCAGGCTTATGCTCATTTTGGAGGCAGAAAATCTGACAACTATTCAGGTGGCTGAAATCTCAAATCCACCTCATTCAATTGTAACAATATGGAAATACACATTATCCAGTATCAAAAGGGAAATCTAACTGAGGTTTCTGGAAAGTTTCATGCTAAATACAAATCTCACCATTTCACATATATCTGAGCATTTACTAGTGAGTTAATACGTGTTCTATACACTTGAGAGCATTAAAGACCAAAAGAGACAACAACTGCAGTCCCAGTAGAGTGTAAACTCCAGAAGGAGACTGCCAATTATAAGAACAAATAATGTATACAGGGCATTAGAATGTGTCTATGGGCTTCCAGGAAAGAAAATAGATCAAATAAAGGGTCTATGAGCTGAAGAGTGGGTCTCATTCACAAGGTTGTACTTATACAAAGATGAAAAAGTTGAAAGAAGTTGAAAACTAGTCAGCAGGTAATAGGGAGGGTCTCTTTCGCATTTCAGCCAAAGAAAACAGACAAAAAGTCTAACATAAGAACAAACCTAGGTGTTCAAAAAACATTAATAGTAAAAATGATGCTCTCAATGGAAGGAGAAATGAACTAGCTCTCAATGGTTGTATAACAGATGACCCCAAACTTAAGACTATCAGCTCTGATTTTATGGTCTAATAATGCCATAATTCTGATAAGTGTCAGGATTTCTCCCAAGAATTTTGCCTTTGCTATTGTGAGCCACTCTATCAAACATGAAACAACACCGCTATTTGCTTAGACAGAGTAAGCAACAGAAAAGAATCAGAAAGTATGACCCAAACTGTCATGTACAACCTAATCTCAGAAACAAAAACCCATTTGTTTTTGCCACTAGTATCTGTTGAAGCCAAATTACCAGGCGTATAACACATGAAGCAGAAGGGAACTGCACAAAGGCATCGATATTAGGAGGTAAAGAGCATAATAAAACATCTTAGGAGTTGGAGAAGTGGCAGGATGTGAGCTCAGGGCATTTTGTACGATGAGGAAGAATGCCAGCTCATGTATGGCCTTACAAGAGTGTGTCTTTTTAATGAGAGTAAAATGGGAAGCAGGGTTTTGAGAACATGAAGGACAGGATCTAAAGAAGGGCATTCAAGCAAGGGCAGGAAAGAGGTATGTTGGGAGGCTTCTGCAACAACCGGAAAGGGACCATCCACGGCAGGTGCCCAGGAAAGCAGCCAGAAGATGATTTCCTCTATGGCTTTTGGCTGGAAAGACTTAAGATCCTTGTTGCTATGGACTACAAGGAGAATTATGGAATATAATTGGAAGAGCATCACCTGCTTTAGAAATCTTGAATGTGAAGTTTCTTGGTAGAAATTTGCATAACAGTTTGATACAGAAATAGGAAATTTAAGAGAGGTTTATACGGCGGTCTGATCTGGGAGATATGTATATATAACATTTTGAGTCAACCAACAATTTAAAATCATTAAGGGATTTCACGAGAGACACAATAATCCTAAGAATTAGATCCTGGTGCAAACAACAAGAAAATAAAGACCCAACAAAGGAAATTCTAAAAAGCACAAGCTCAGACTGAAGAAGAAAAATGTTAAAAAGTATGTGTCACTCTCTCCAAAATCATCAGTATAACATGTTTACGACACTGAAGGTGAAAACTAAGCAGTCTGTTTAATGCTTCTGCTCAGAAACAACTTCTTAGGCTACTTGGCCCTAAGGAATTTTTATCTAGATACTCTCTTGAGCAAACAACCAGTAGCCATTTAGAAAATACGCCCCACACTTTAAAACAGGGAGGGAAAGGGCCAGGAAAATGACACAACTGTATCTTACCAAAAAGGACTTTAGAGACCTGAATGGAAAAGAAAAAAAAATAGATAAAATCTCCAAAATGATTCCCAGTCTTCCCATCTTGCCTTTAAAAGCACCAGATTGTATCATTAGAGATGTTTTCAAAACAAAAAGATGTAAAAAGATGGAAGTTTGATGTGATGCTATATCAAGTCTCACAATATTAACTTTCCAATATTATTTCACTAACAGTGAAACTCTCATTCTTTTATCTGATGTGAACATCAAATAACATCTGTGTAGCACTAACCACATGGCAGCACTCCTAATACTAAGATGTAGGCACTATATTTCACAGGTGAAAATGCCACAAAGCAATTAGATGACTTTAAGGTCCCAAGTGCTCCTTTCAAATGAGATTTTAGGAACGTAAACACTGATCCTGTAAACTGTGATCCACCCCTCCAAGTTTAGTATTGGAAACTTCATCACCAGGGTCAGATTGATGTACCAGCCCACCACTCACTGGTGAACACTAAAGCCAGGCCTGGGGGCCCAGGTGGGCCTGGCAGGGCTAGATCACAGTACCGCCAGTGAGAGTCGGAACAATGACAGGAAATGCTAGGCTGGGCCATAGTGCTAACCAGCATGCAAAAGAACTGGGTCAGGAGCTTGGGGAACTCCTTTGTCAGGGTGCAATCCCTAGAGGTGAATACAAGATCCAAGGCAAGAAGCAGCCCAGACCAGACAAGGTTACAGAACTTGTCAACACACGTGTAGCTCAGGTGTGGGGGTGGGCCAGGCTGGGCCAGTTTATAACACCCACTGATACATCTGAGAACCAAGATGGGGTACAAGGTGGGCTAGGCCTGGCCATACCACCATAGTCCAGGAAGAAAGGAATGAGCCCCTTCTGAAGTGGGTACATCATCTCCACATTAGGAAGTCTGATGACAATATAAGGCCAAGGGGCAGAAAAGAACAACTGAGCCCTCTCTCACCTTTCACTACACATCAAACATCTCCTTCCCTGTAGCTTCAGTTAACTGAGGGTTGTTAAAAGCCACTCAACAGCTAGGGAGTACACAGGCACAAGCAGAAATCAACCTGCCTTTGACAAACTTTCCAGGAACAACAGCCAAAATTGTGTTAATAAATGAGCCTCAAAAAGTGACTGTCACACATGTGGATTTGCAGCAGTCCTTTAAGAGCTTCTATAACAAGAAAATGGTACCTAAAGTGCTGCGAAGAGGTTATGGACACAACTGTAAGACCATGGATCCAGACTGCACTCTTGGAGTGAAGGAGGAAGAGTTGGAAATTTTCATTCATGAAAGTTTACTTTGTTTTTTTTTTCTCTGGACCTTTGGAACTCAGTTCTGCACCCCATCAGATCTTTCCCATTT